CACACAGTGAAAGTTCCTAAACCAGGGTCCAACGATTGGTTCAACAAATCGTGTGATACTGCTCGCCAGCAGAAGATCAAGACCCACAGAACCTACTTACAAAACCCCACTGCAGAGAACAGACAAGCCGACGTCGAGTCCAGAAAAAAATATAACGAAGCGGTTCGCAATGCCAAAAACCAGCATGATATCAAAGTTAGGCACAGGGTAATGTCGCAGCGCAATGGCAGTCGGTCTTTCTGGACGCTGGCCAAGCAGATTGAAAAGAACTTCTCACACAGTAGCCTTCCACCACTTACGTGTCAGGATGGAACTATTGTATTCGACTCAAAGGCCAAGGCGGAAGTGCTAGCCAAGATCTTTGCTGCCAACTCCACCATGGACGTCCCCACCAACGTCCAAGTGCCGTCAATTCAAAGGGTTCCCCACACTATGCGGGAGGTAACATTCAGGCATAAGACCGTAAGACGAGTGCTCTTGTCGCTCGACATCAACAAAGCTTCTGGTCCGGACTTGATTCCTGCCATTGTACTGAAGAGATGTGCAGCGGAGCTTGCTCCAGCTCTTTCGCGTCTCTTCCAGATATCTTATGAATCCGGCACCTTCCCAGAAAACTGGAAATTTGCTCATGTACAGCCCATCCCAAAAAATGGATCTAAGACCGACCCTTACAACTACAGGCCTATAGCTCTGCTTTCTGTTATAAGTAAAGTGATGGAGAGGTGCATAAATCGCGAGCTTCTGGACTACCTCGAACGTCACAGCTTGATTAGCGACAGGCAGTACGGTTTCCGGCACCAACGATCGACAGGGGACCTCCTAGCTTACGTCACGCAACTGTGGAGTAAACTCATCCAGTCTCATGGTGAGGCTCATGTCGTTGCTCTTGACATCACGAAAGCGTTCGATCAGCTGTGGCACGCTGCCCTCTTAAGCAAACTTCCATCCTACGGCCTCCCAGAAAAGCTTTGCAGATGGGTGACTTTATCTCTGGCCGCAAAATATCCGTCGTAATTGACGGATTCTTCTCTTCATCCCACAATGTCAACGCGGGTGTTCCCCAGGGATCGGTCTTGGCTCCAACACTGTTTCTCTTACATATCAACGACCTCCTTTCCTGCACGATCAACCCAATCCACAGCTTCGCTGATGACAGCACTATCACTGCTTGGGGACGCAACAATCTTGTACAGTTCAATGCTTCCAAAACACAGTACTGTACTTTGACGAACAAAAAGCGTCCTAGCGCTCATACAGTTTCGATGGACGGTCGAGTTCTACCAATGAGCCTTTCATTTCGGCTGGTCGGAGTCCAGATCACCGAGGACCTGATCTGGCACGAACACATCTCTTCAATAGCTGCAGCTGCTGGAAAAAAGCTAGGCTATTTGTTTAGGGCTAAGAAGTACTTTTCTCCGCATGACCTTCTCACTCTATACAAGGCCCAGATAAGGCCTAGCCTCGAGTATTGCTCACACATTGGGGGTGCTGCCGCCCCGACTACATTGTCCATGGTCGATGCTGTCCAGAGGAGGGCGGTCCGACTGATCGATGGCTCTTCTCTAACAGACAGTCTCGGGACTCTTTCGCACCGGCGAGTCGTCGGCGATCTAGCTCTTTTCTATCGCTACACCAACGGGCTTTGCTCCTCAGAGCTCTCTTCCATGATGCCGCCGCGCGATGTGCCTGCCAGAGAGACCCGCCTGACTTCGGCGTCCCATCCTAACCGTGTCAAGCTTCGTACATCCAGAACTGGCCGATACGACCGCTCCTTTGTCCCGAGGGTGTCTAGATTGTGGAACAATCTATGGGAGGAAGCTTTTCCCAGTTCTACTAACCTTAGGCAGTTCAAAAATCGTATTAACAAAATTTCTTTGGGACCATCATAGCAGCCGCGGTGTTCCGGCATTTAGGCTTCTGCCTGCGCGGCTGTTTCGAGATAAAAAAAAATCATTTAATTAGAGTATAGAAAAGAATCACTTATATCATGAATATATAACTTAAAAAGCTGTGGTACAAGATATGCTCCCTATGGAACTCTGTGAGACCACCAGGTCCAGGTTCCTTACTAATATCAAGATTGCTAAGGGCAACCGTAAGTTCAGATATATTAAATATAAAGGTAGAACTGCTTAAAAATGTCATACTAGAAGTATCCTCTACCAGCGTTGGTGTGTCATATTCATCAAATGCATTTGCAATGTCCAGGAAAGTTGAGAGTATTTTATCTTTAAGTTTTTTTTTAAATTATGTGTACTTCCATAGCGACAGAGCTTCTGTACTGCTTCTACTCCTTTGCCATAAGTTGGTTTCACTTTGACATCTTTAGCGGTAATCGAATAATCTTCCGAAAGGTTGAAATTACGAGTGTATTTATAATCTCCACGGTATTCATTACACTGAATACTCATTTAATTAGCTCATTAGATGCTTAATTGATGTTGCAAACTTCTGCTTGGAGTTCGTAAATAAAGTTTTCCAGGGTTTTGCCCAAGAAACCGATTGAAGCTCGTCTAAGTAAACGATGTTGTTTGGTAATTAGTGATCGTTTGTTCAGTATCATGCTTAGTTACTTTCCGCGCAACCTTAAAGAAGTTTTTCCTCGTTTTAAGTCTTAGGGTGTACTGGTTCCACGACGCCTGTCAGAAGCAACTGTATGGTACAATAGGGAATTACTGAAGAACTTACCGCTAAGCACTTCTAGTAGCGGTCAGGATTTTGACACTATTGACATACACGCATGGAAAGTTTGCGACACTACTACGGTCGCCACTAATGAAAATAGTGGCCACCTATAATTATGGAGCTGTAGAAACTAGCACAGTCCTTACTAGACGTTCTTGACAACTTTGACATTCCTCATAGGTATTGACACTGTTAGTCTCACAGTTTTTCAAGTTGATTGTTGTGTTTGTGCTTTGGATGGTTTTATTTAATTTTGATTCTGATCTTCCCATATGACTTTAAAACTTCTCCCGGCGGTTTGTGCTGTTTATGCCAATTGGGTACAATGTATAGTGTAAATCAATCATTAAAATTGATAAGCTGTTAGCTGTCATTGAGCGACATCCAACGCCTAAGGCCATATCAATCATAAACAAAATTTTGATCGATCAGTGCTTCCATCTCACGTGCGAAGTTAATTCGTTGTGCATAATCTCCGAGCTGTAACTGTTGCACAATGGCCAATTTGTAGGGGTGAAAGCGGAGATCCATATGCAAAATTCGCCTTACCGGACGATCACTAAGGAGAAGTGCAGCAGCATGTTTCCGGGCAGATCAGGTCGGACTGCGAAGAAAGACCTGTCGAACGCGTTCAACATTTTCAGGAGAGTTGGAACTGTTCGCGGCGCTCCTCTTGGTCTTCTGTTGATCAGTTCACCACGCCTCCGAAGTGATTCAACCCAACGAAGGATGGTGTTTCGAGAGGGAACAGCTCTATTCCGATGAATGTTGAAGTGGCGACGAAACTCACGCTGTACGAGGATGACTGACCCATTATTTCGGACGAAACAATCATAGGCGAAAACGCGGTGCCCCACCGTCCAAGGCTCCATAACGACAACTGGTAAAATAATGCTAGGATCCAGTGTTGCCAGTTCGATATTCATTTCATCAGTAAATAGGTTGCCAAAAATTCAGTAGATTTCAGGAGATATATATTTTAGGCAAATTTTAGGAATGGGTAATAAAAAAGACCTATTAACTCGAAAAAATATGTATTTTTTATAAATAAAGAAAATTTGTGTGCTTAACAAAATATAGGAATATGTACACAAAACAAAAATTTTAACTTATACCTAATTCTTAATTTAAAAAAAACTTATCACAAAATAAAGTTACTTAGGATATACTCATCAGATACGAGTACATAAAAAACAGCAGTAAATAGTAAAACTAATAAACTCCAAAAATACAAAACAAGTAAAAAAATGAAACGTAAGAAACTAGAGGTACTTATATAAAAAATTGAATTTATTCGGAATCTGATAAAGTATTGTACTTTTTTGGTTTATACATATCACTATTATGTAAATTTATTTCTTCTTTTGTAAATGAAACGTTTGTACAATTTACTTTTCTAGACTTCAAATAATTGTTTGTGTGTAGATGTCCCACAATACTCGTAGTTAAAAGTTTATTTCTTTGATTAGTTTTCATTAGATTTACCGCAGAAAAAACTCTTTCTACATTTCCCGATGAATGTGGTAAAATTAACAAATTGAAAACAAATCTACGTAAAACAGAAAACATGGTAGTTCCGTCCCTGTAGCGCATACTTTCAATTTTTGACCAGAATGTTTCTACATCTACATCACAACTGAAATTTACATCCGTATTTCGAAGTAATCACCATTCATTATCTACCAGTTGAAATTCATTCTCCGAAACCAAGTTTGGAAAATGTTTCATAAATGGCATGATACTGTTAGCTTTCTTGTCGAAAATATTTTTTACGCCTATTAAATCCATATTAATTAAAATGGGGTCATTGAAGTCAAACCTTTGACTTATTTGGTTTGCCGCCTCTACATAAAACTCTAGGCATCTTTTCCTAAAAGTAGATTTGTCGGAGTCACCCAATGACTGAATTGAGACTCGAAGTTTGGCTCCTAAATACAATTTTTCTAAGGGAAGAAAATTATTAGGATCTTTGAAATCAATTTGATAAAGTGGGGACTGTATGAGTACTTCCCTTTTTATAAAACATTCTAAAAAAGATTTGTACACAGTACTTATAGATTTGTATAAATCTTGGATAGCCGGTGTTAAAAAAGGATTAAGAAAATTCTAAAAATTGAAAATACAATTTTGTGAAGCGATCATTCAACTTTATTAGTATATTTTCTGGTGTTAAAGTTCGATCAGATACAGAGGCATCTGTAAGAAATAAAATTAAGGCATTGTATTGCTCTAAAATTCTAGAGACTACAGCTTCTAAAAATAGCCATCTTGTCTGGGCCGGATGTAACATTTTATGTATTCGTGTTTGAAATTCTTTAAAAGGTTTCGACTCTTGTTGGACTATTTGAGAAATAAGTATATATTTCATGGGCCAAATCTTCAATCCCCCTAGGTAATTTTAAACAAGCATATGACGCACATAGATGAAAGCTGTGACAAATACACTTAACAACATAAGCATTTGGTATATCTACCTTTAACCTAGATACTACTGAATTGTGTTTTCTAACCATAACGTTTGCCCCATCAGATGCGAATCCAATTAGATTTCGTTGATGCGGTATTTTCTTCAGGCTAAAAAAGTTGGTAATTTCTTTATACAGATCTTCAGCCTTAGCTTCTTTAATTGGCAGTAATGCAAGGAAACTGTCTTGAATTCTAGAAGAAAAAAATAGTTTTATAACTTAAAAAGTAATATATTATCATGTTATGAACTTACATATTATTATGACGGTATCTACAAACAAGACACAAATGTTTTGTGCATGAACGGTCTGTGGATCCAATAATTAATGAAAATTTATTCCTAGTTAAAATTTCACAGATTTTCTCCTCATGCCTGTTGCCAATAACATTCTTAATAACACAAGAGCGTTTAGTCCGACTACATTTAATTTTCTTTGCTATTTCTGAATCAGGCGCCAGTTTGGTTATTAGTGCAGGTAAATGCTCCATCACATTATATGACAAATTGTGCTCAGTGACAAAAGCTGCGAGATGTAAGTCTGCCGTTTTTAATATGGTTTCCTGATTTGGGCCTCCTTTAAAAACCGTCATATCTGTTAATGTTTCCTGGTTTTTCTGAGATTTGCATAGTTTCATGTGCATCGCACTATTCTGATGCCGAACTAGTGCTAATCTGCCAGTATTTTTAATAGAAATATCTTTATTGTACATAGCAAAGTATTAATCTTTTCCCTGTTTGATCCACTTTTTAAATTGCTCCTCTTCGGTCCAGCTTTCCTTAAATACTAGATTATATTTAATTTTTTTTTCTTTGAGGGACCAGCCCGTTCATTTTCAGAGTTATGGTACTCACTTGAACTAAAAATATAACACATTAACTTCTTTAGAATTCAATATTAACTAATAAAAGTGAACTTACCTCATTTTTGTACGTGCGCTTATACGAAAGAATAAAAAAATAAAGTATTCAACAAAACCACTGGATACGAGATCAAACCGAATTGTGAAGGTGAAAACAAAGAAAAAACCAAAACCCTCGCGTTGTCGCGCAGAGCTGGGAAATCCTGGTCCCCGTAGTCGTTTACGCATTAATAACCGGTGATTCCCCGTGGCCACGGTCTGGTCCAGTGATGTAGGTATACGGTCCGCGTTGCCAGGTCGCATAAAACCACTGCTGTTATGGATGATGCCATGATTCGTATTATTATTACGGATGATTCATCCATGGAAGATTCATCCGAATATTCTATCCGTTTCCGTCTAACCGGTTAGCAAAATATTCCGAATATTTACATCAGTAGTCTGGGCTGTAAAGCATTACCAACATAATATCAAGCGTTAAGACGCTTTCGAATTTATTTAGGGTCATCATTGATAAATATACAAATCAGTAGATCTACTGAAAATTCAGTAGAACTGACTATACTGCTAGGATCTCACGAGTCAAACGGCACCCTTCCCACCTCTCTCGTAGACGGAGGCGGAGAGTACTACCCATCCCAAAAACGTCCGTCCTCTCTGCCGCACCCTGTATTTTCACGTTAGTGGCATGAAAAGTCTACAAGACTCTGCCTAGCCCTTTTACTGTCTGCCTTATGGAGTGGTTCAATCATTCGCTATTAATTTGAACTCATAGTTAATGTTACTATTTTGATCCAAAAGGCTAGCGTGTCATATTCCGATAGCCACTGCAGAAAGCAAAATAAGAGAAGGATAGAGGACTGTGGGTTTTACACCTAAAGAAAGTTTATCGTAAAATAATCATTTGGGCTATGATTTCAGCATAGACTATTTGATTTTTATGTTTTTTTTTGCTACAAAATATTAAAAAATGCAAAATATACATTTAATTAGAAAACTAGAAACACTAGAAATGCTTCCAGTAATAGAAGTAGTTCTGGCTTTGGGCGAAACAAATTTCTCTCCAGCTTCCTCAAGATTCTACAATTGTGATTAATATGAGTATATAACAACACATCATACAAGCTCAGAAGAAATGAGGGATAAGTGCCAGCAACTAAATGTTAAATGTTCCAAAATGAGAAATGCTCCCAATGCAAAATTTGTAAAAAGGTCAAATACTTCCAACTACCCTACCAAGGCTCATCAGTACTTTTTACTCATAAATTGTATATTCACCAACTTGCTTTATAATCTGTCTGGATGCTGATGCCACATGAAAGAATATCAGGTAGCTGTACAGGGTGGACAACTAAAAATGCGACGTACTGTATCTGGAAACTTATCAATCGTAGAGGCATGTGGCAAGAATAATTATTACTAAAATGTCCAAGAGAAAAAATTGAAAAATATTTTCAAGGTTCTGAAATGGCCATTAGTGAACGTAACTGCAATCTTGAAGCTAAAAAAGTTTCTGTGTATTCCGCTATATAAACCTAACAAAAAAAACCTGATCTTTAAATTCGAGGATAATCTGAACCTTTTTTTGCCTAAGGCAAAGATAACCCGCTAAAGAAGACATATTCGTTCTTTGTCTCCTGTAACCATGACCAACTGCAGACAGCGCTACTTCATGCTCATTAGTAATTCATTAGTGCGTTATAGGACTTAGGGCTAGTCGTGGAAATGGACGGAACAAAAAGCATACAAATTGATGTTGTGTTATCTTGCCAAAAACTGTAGTCAATCGTTAGATATGAGACCTCGGGGTGAGGTTTTTTGTGGTTTTTGGGTGCAATGGTTGCTTGGGCGCCACCTGGTTTCCAAAACTAGGAAATGAAATAACAAGTATCACTGTTGGGATTCTGGCGTTAAAGGAGATACAAATCCACAAGGCACACAGACATTTATTGAACAAAAAAAAAAACAAATTGAAGAGACGTCCTGTAGGACAGGATAAGAAAATTATTTCAAATTAAAACTAAAATTGAAAAAGAACCTTGGCTATCCACGAACGGCAACCGAGGGCAGGATGTTCCAGATGTTACTCTAAAACCGGATAGTAGAACCCAAACGTAGAACCGGATGGTAAAACTGGTTGGTAAGACACTCGAACAATGAGGGTACACAAAAATGGGGAACTGCTCCTCCCAGGCGTGACTCCTACTTAAATTCGCCTTGGACTGTCCCTGTAGGCGTTTCCCCTCAGCTCGATGGTTCAGTGTAGTTATCTGCACGGTTAAATTCTCAAGAAGGTGAGAAAAAGGCTCTGGCAAAAAAAACACCAAGCGGGCTGATTTCTAATAAAAACCACTCCACCACCTTATAAATCCACAACTCAGCGTCTGAAACTATCACAAAATAGGGTGGTGGGTCCCAGAATTCTTACACCTGAGCACCGGAAATAGCCCCAAGTCACATATCATATTTACGATCGACAGAAATTACAAAAAATGACTTCCTACGAGATGGAGAGTGGAGTACCGTTTTCTACCTTAAACTGAGGATAGTGGCTTGTTATAAAAATGAAATTCGATGTTTTTGAGAACTGCTATAGAATTATTATTTTAAATAAGAAAAATGCTGCAATAATTCACTTCATCAAGATGTAGTTAATCTTTATTCGACTATAAAAAGAAATTGTAAAAAAATGAGAAACTCAAAATACTGTGCTCAAGCAGATGGAAATCTGAGGATCGTTACTTACCAATGGTTTAGCCAAGTTGATTTTCATCAGCATCCATCTACGACGAAGACTATAAAGAGCTAGAGGCCATCAGGGCAATTCTATAGTCTTCATCGTAGGTGGATGATGATCAAAATCAGCTTGGTGAAACCACTGGTAGGTGACGATCGTCAGATTCCCCTGCTTGCGCACAACGAGATCCTGTTCAGCATATATTTAGTTTTGCAAAGTACGTCAAGCAGAGTAGCATGGTGATTACGTAATGCTCTCCTGAGTTGCGCGACGCGTACGTAGTGGGCGACACATCGGTTTCATGGAAGCGGACTTTAATTCAGAGATACCGGAAGTGCAAGGACTTTCCTAATATCGACATAGAGGTCGCTAGTATCGCGTATGGTGAAGTACTCAGAGGTCACCTCATCGTGCACTATGTATCAAATCCTTCAGTAGACCCAAATTTGCTGCTCAACAGCATGCAACGACGTTGTTTACTATTGGTTACAGTCACAGAGATGGAAAGCAAACATATTGTGTTCAGCCAATATACTGACATGATTATTATGTGCATCATACTTAAGTAGGATAAAGCTCTCAACAGTTATTTAAAACATTTTAAAATAGTTTCCACACAACACGCTTATCAAGTATGACTGTAATAGATATTAATTTGACCATCCTTTTTACGGTCATAAAAACAGCATAGTATCATAATGGCGAACCCACAAACAACAGCAAAATTCGAAAATCGGATTTTCATAAATATGAAGCCTATTTTCAATGGGAGCGTCAAAGTGAAACACGAACAGTATATATTCTTTTTTCGCCGTAATACATCAAAGCATCCAATTAGGCAAGTATAATTGAATATAGTAAATAATGTTGTATGAAATTACGATTAATTGCTATAACAACAATATGAATTCATTGGAAAATTTCAATTTAGATTAATTGCCGCGATAAAGCAAAGAAAGTATCTTTACTATTACGAGGTGGAAGCGTTAATTATTGAAAATTAGCGAGAAAAATTATAGTTATCTTCTTTAACGATGTAAGCTTGTGGTTTCATCCATATTACGTACTAACGACACAATTATGCAAATTATTAATATTATACTATACGGAACACTAAACTTGAATGAGGTATAGTAGATCTGATATCAATTGAAACAGCGAAAAAACCCAAAACCAAATTTGCCTAACGGTTTGAGCTGTGAGAATGTGTACGAGACAAAAGTGTGTTTAGACACATATGCTAGAAAGAGATAGAGGCCGGCTGGATATTTTACACCAGCTCCTTTAATTTAGTTGCATGTTGAAAATATGCGTTAGTTTAATATCTACGCCCAAATAGTGGTTTTATTTTGAGCGTACTCATTTTTTAAATGAAAGGACAGAATCGCCACAAATTCTGCTACATTGCATCATTTCTTTACAATGACCCACCGTAACATCATTGCAGTACATTACATACCTTGATGGAGAAGTATGCCATTATTGTCTGAGCGCATAGCGCTGCTTTGAATTGTTGTTTATTACTATCATGTATCACCACACTACAATAATTGTAGGACGCCTTTATGGCCTCCTTGATTGTCATAGTCTTTTCTCTCCTTCAAAAATTTCTAGATTGCACCTGTTCCGTGTCAGCGACAGCGCTTTCCTATTGTAAAGTTATATCTTCTTTTTGAATTGTAGGAAATTTTAGGCTGATAAAGTGTGATATAAATCAAAAGCATGAACAGTTTGATGCAAATAGATATTTGTGACATAACCTCAAAATAGAGCGCTGACACGGAAAAGTAGAAAACTATTGAAATCAAGGAGGCCATAAAGGCGTTCTACAATTGTAGAAACGACGACAATATATATATATATATACAGGGTGGCGCATCGAAAACGAAACAGACGCATTTACTGGCAGCTCAATTTTTTTTTGGAAAAACGCTCAGACCCGTCGATTTTGTTTTCGAGGGGGACACAAGTTTGGCAAAACATCACGTTAGCACGTGCAGCCCCCTAAGCGGGGGTGACACCACCCCCAAAATCTTAAATGGAAAGGGGGGTCGAGTGATACCTTATTTTAAAGGTATTTCAATTGCCTTTATAATGATATAAAATTAATGTA